TTCATCTAGCGAAAAGTAACTCTGTGATATAATTATGGTATTTCAGCTGAGAAATCCATTTTTGGAATAACTAACATTCAATTAAGCTTTCTGAAGAAAACATGAAAAAGTGTTTTATAAAAGAATTGTGTAGTTCCTAAGTTTTCCATACCCTTTCAAGTAAAACAAACTTGAGTTCGATCCATCGCCTTTTACGTGCGAGGGTTAGAGAAAACTTTCGTAGAAATGATTCTGGCAACAATGTGCGTTTGTTATACGTTTCAACAAGTTTTTGAGGCCCCGTCCACACTACGGGGGAGAAATTGGAAAACGCAGCTTTATTTCCACGGTTAGGCCTACCGTCCAAACTGATCCGTCACGAAAACGGAGCTTTTCGAAAACGCTCTTCAAACCGGAGGAATTTGTAAACGCTGGGTTTGCGTTTTAGTGCGGACAGAAAACATTTTGAAAACGGAGCTCTTCGAAAATGATGAAATCGCGATAATCATTTGATTTCCCTGCCCGAGTTTTCCTCAAACACAAATCCAAAATGACCGCTGATTGTTGCGTTTTCAATTTCTCCGGCCTAGTGTGGATGGAAAATATTTGATGCGTTTTCAGAGAGAAAAAGTGTGGACGGAGCCCGAGTTTTCGGCCAAGGAAATTGAATTTCTATCTTGTGTTTCAATTCGCTGTCCAATAAACGCAGTACACAAGCAAATAAAATTCTTTGAAAAAATGTTTTATATACAAGATACAAAACTTCACTCAAAAGCTCAACAGCCTCTTATTCAAAAGTAGTCGAGATAACTGCAGCATATTAAAACTATTTAACTACAGAATTGATATATTTTTAAACTTTCTTTTGCTAGAAATCCTGAAATGCTTTTGGTCCTTTCTCCTTTCGTTGTATTCCTTGACCCACTGTGCAATGTAACGTTTCTCGATGTTTCGCGCCTGCACGACAGATGGGGGGTCCAGCGGATTTTTATGTCTCAAGTCCAGGTGATGGGCGCCATCTTCTATCAGCACGGCAACGAGGCTGTCGGTGATGTTCTGGGTAACCCCGCCTGCTGACCAAGGATCCAGG